GGTTGGAGAAAGGGCTGGAGGGAGGCAGCATGTCTGTCCTGGCAGGAATAGGCCTTGGGTTACTGCTGGTAATCCTGTCTTCCTCTTGTGGGATTAGAGCAGGTGAGAACGTGTGGCCTCTTTGCCGTTTTTGCACCCGCTGTCACCACTTCTGTTCAATATCATACTGGAAGTCCTAGTGGCGTCATAAGGCAAGAAAGAGAAATAAAAGGCATTCAAATCAGCAAAGAAGACGTGAAACTATCTCCATTTGCAGATGATATGGTCCTACACATAGAAAAACCAAGAGACTCAGCAAGAAAACTACTGGAACAAATCGAAAGATTTAACAAAATGGCAGGATACAGGATCAACATACAAAAATCAGTTAGCTTCCTCTACATCAATAAAGGGATCTCTGAAAAGGACACAGGAAAAAAATACCATTTACAATAGGTACCAAAAAGATAAAATACTTAGGAGCAAATCTTACTAGGGACACTGAAGATCTATTTTAAAAACAAACAAACAAACAAAAAAAAACCCTACAAAATACTACTAACAAGAAACTGTAAGAGATCTACATAAATGGAATATACTGTGCACATGATAGGAAGACTGAACAGTATGAAAATGTCAATAATACCCAAACTAATCTATAGATTCAATGTAATCTTGATCCAGATTCCATCTACATTCTTTAAGGACATAGAAGAAACAATCACTAATTTTATATAGGAGCTCTGGTAGCATAGTGCCTAAGGCACTTGACTGCTAACCAGAAGGCTGGCGGTTCAAACCCACCAGCGGCTCCTCGGAAGGAAGGTTGGGCAATCCTACTTCCGTAGTGATACTGCCTCGGAAACCCAAGGAGGGGTCGCTATGAGTCGGGGCCGACTTGACAGCACATAACAACAACAACAAAACCAATTTTATATGGAAAAGAAAGGGACCTCAGAGAGGCAAAGCACTACTCCAGAAAAACGAAGTGAGAGTTCTCACACTCCCTCATCTCAAAATCTACTATATAGCCACAGTCATCAAAACAGCCTGGCACTGGTACAATGACAGACACATAGACCGGTGGAACAGAACTGAGAATCCAGAAACAGATCCATCCATTATGGACAGCTGATCTCTGACAAAGGGCTAAAACCCACTGAATAGGAAAGAGACAGTCTCTTTAACAAATGGTGCTGGCAAAACTGGATTTCGATTTGTAGAAAAATGAAACACAGAGTCACACCTGCTAAAAGGACATGGGAACGGTATCTGACCTCTTTTGACCTTACAGGAGGGGCAGAAAATCGCCATCAGCAGCATCTGCCCGTGGGTGATTCCTATGAGGTCAGACACGCCTGCACTCTCCAAACTTTTACCAATTGACACCAACAGACCCTCCCGTGGCAAACTCTACTTCTCTTCTGAGTTTGGTAATTCATTGCAAAGGGCACAGAGAACTCACAGCCAATATTCAGAGTTATGGGATTTATTAGAGACGTAACTGGTTACATACAGTTCAAGCTCAGGAATACTCAGGATACAATTTTTCAATCAGAACAGCATCCTGTCAGCCATGCCCTCTGGCATGCCTCTCTTTGGCCCTTGGTCTCCTGGCCTGGCCTGCACCTTGCTCAGGCAAGTGGCACAAAACTCTTAGCTCTGGAAACAGATGCACCCTAGTCCGCCAACAAGCCCCCTGCCCAAAGGCATTCAGCTTTTTCTTGCCACGGGCCGGCAAGCCTTCCGCTCCATCTCACGGGCCGGCAAGCCTTCTGCTCCATCTCATGCCAGTTTCTTGATTCTGCTGCCTCTGCTGCTGCCATCTCACTGATAAGGAGGCCCAGCACAGGGATCTCAGGTCCAAGGACATGCTCCACGCCTGGCTCCTGCTTCTGTCTTGATAGTAATGAGATCTCCCTGACCGCCTCTGAGATGGCTCATTCTAAGTCACTGACCAAAACTGGCCAATCCTCTTGTTTGGGTTCCATACACTTCATTTGCACAGCCACTCCTGGGAGGGAAGTTTGGGCAATCTACTTCCGTAGTGATACTGCCTCAGAAACCCAAGGAGGGGTCGCTATGAGTCGGGTCTGACTTGACAGCACATAACAATGACGACAACCCCACAAGGGTGTCATGTACCTTATTTACACTATTAGCAAGCTATCCAATCGCCTTGGTGGGCTCGACAGCTCACATTTACATTGTCCCACTTGGTCATCTGGTGGAAGTCACAAACAACATGGCTAAAAGAGCCATGCCATGCAATTTACCACACTGCAATATCATACCATACACAAAAACTAATTTAAGATGGATGATAGACCTAAACATAAAACCTAAAATTATAAAGTTCATCAAAGAAAAACTAGGGGCAAATGTAGGGGCCCTAATTTTTGGCATAAATAGACTATCAAACAGTCAAAAATGTACAAATAGCAGAGGATAAACTAGATATTTGGGACCTTCTAAAAATTAAATTCTTATGAACATCAAAAGACTTCTCTAAAAGTAAAAAGAGAACCTATAGATCAGGAAAAAATATTTGGCAACAACATATCTGACAAGGGACTTATTTCTAAAATTTATAGAAAACATCAATATCTCAATATCAAAAAAACAAACAATCCAATTAAAAATGGGCAGAAGACATGAACAGACATTTCACCAAAGAAGAGATTCAGGCAGCCAACAAAAACAAGAAGTGCTCACTATCATTAGCCATTAGAAAGATGCAAATCAAAACAACAGTGACATATAATCTCATCCCCACAATAATACCGAAGTTCAACAAGACAGAAAGCAGCAAATGCAGGTGAGGGTGTGCAGAGACTGGAACTCTCACACCCTGTTGATGGACTTCAAATGGTGCAACCACTGTGGAAGATGGTATGGTGCTTCCTTAAAAAGTTGGGAATAGAAATACCATTTCATCCAGTAATCTTACTACTAGGTATACATCCTAAAGAAATAAGAGCCTGGACAGAAATATGCACACCCACACTCATCGCAGCACTGTTCATAATAGCAAAGAGACGGAAGCAATGCAAATGCCCATCAATGGATGAATGGATAACCAAACTGTGGTGCATACACACAATGGAATACTATGCAGCAGTAAAGAATAAGGAAGAATCCACGAAATACCTTATAATGTGGATGACTTGGAGGACATTATGCTGAATGAAATGAGTCAATTACAGAAGGACTAATATGTAAGTTCACTATTTTAAAACATCAAGGAAAGGTTTACACATGGAAGGAACCTTTATTGTTTGGTTACCAGTGATGTGAAGGGAAGGGAGGGAGAATTGCTAAATAGGTAAGAGATACATATTGATGCGGGTGAAGGGAAAGGCAACAGAGCAAAACTGAGTGACCAGCACAAAATCACTGAGGAAAAGGAAGACACAGAGAGGTGCACAAGAAGTACAGACAACAAAGATAAATGCTATTACATACACAATACTGCATTATGAATAATAGAAAACATCAGTCTATGGGTGGAGACATAGGTAGGCAGGCAAGACGATTAGGTACGGGTGGGCAAATGTGACTATACCCATGACCATATATAGGTTTGGCAGATGATATTTCTGCGTAAGTATTTGTACGTATTATAAAAATGTCCATATATGTAATAGAAACCCATCAGCCATGCCTCAGAAGGAAGACTGGACAATCTACTTCCATAGAGATACAGCCCCAGAAACCCAAAGATGGGTTGCTATGAGTTAAAAAAGACTCGACGGCAGTGAGTTTTTTTTTTTAACACGGGGCGAAATTATGATAACTTCTTAGCCACAACCAGACACCTTGAGGGAGTGAGTTGCTGGGCCTGAAGGCTCAGGACAATGATTGAGGGCGGGGGAGAGCG